GAATATCTGTGGCGGCGACTATACTCAATCTTAGATAAACACTGTACATACAGAAAATTTATGGAAATCAACACGAGAGTATCTTTACTTAATCTATTAGTAGTAGCAGAAGAATGGGGAATTACCAATGGGGTTTTGCATAAGATATCATTTTTCTCCCGCAGCTTTTGTTCTTGTCAAGTATACATTTTTTATGATTTATCTCAGCATCAAGTAACCGCATTTTGTTAATTTTGAGGTTGCTTTATGTTCATCCGATTATCTCAAAAACAATAGCGCCCATGAATAGCAATGTTTATAATTCAATCAAATTTTTTTAAGCCTTTTGTAAAATAATTACATTTGGTTTTTGCTTCGTAAGTTCGTTCAAATAAATGTCTCAAAATCTATACTTATACAATTTTCTACAAAACAATTTTGTAACAATGCCTCATATTTACCTAAGACCTTATTTTAATCTGTTTAAATTGTTACGGCAGAAAAGCGTAATTATTCTCAGTCATTCCAGAGCCAGTCGATGATGCTTCTACCTTTTATCGTGTGGGTTTGAGTTAAACGCGCTTAAGTGTTTAAAGGCCATTCGTTAATGGGACAGAGCAGATTATTGCTGTTTAAGTGTGACATTGATGTAATGTGTATCAAATTCAACGGCATGATATTGGATTATTATTTTCTTGTAGGGCTGTTTAGATAATAGATTCCTTTAATTTGGTCCATTGAAGGTGGCTGGATATAAGTATTGCGGATTCGGCTATTAAGATATAATTTCTCAATAGGTTTTTATCAGGAAATTAGTACAATAAAATTATAAATTATAAGGAAATACTATGTATCAGCTATTACTTTTATGGTTTCAGAAATTCTTATGTATATTTTTGTGGAAAAACACAGTACTCAATACTTTTTTGAGGTCTATTTTTTTGGTGATAATATTTTTTTTTTCACCAAGCTCACGCCTCAAACAAATACCTACTCGGGTACCTATCTACCTTAAATATGTAGGGTGTTTCAAAAAACAGAGACCAAATGTAACATGTTAGTATCTTATGTTTTCATAATTCGACATTACCTTCAGATTTAATTAAAATAAAATCGTTGCTATTCTCCCTGATTGCATTCTTGATTTTGCTCCTATTGCATCCAAAATTTTCTCAGAGATTACCTATTTGAACCCATTCTCGCTAATATAAAATTTTCCTGAAGTCAGAGTTGTTCTTCTTGCCTTCGGTCTTGTTTTTCTTGTGTTTGTTTTTCTTCTCTTCTTTCCAATATCCTTGTTGTAAAGTGCTGCAAGCCGGTCCTGTTCTTCTTGTCTCCGGACTTCTTCTTGCTGTCTTCGATTTTCTGATAAACTCCTTCTAAAAGGCTATCCTGGCTATCTGTTCTTAAATAGGGTAGAAATCCATATGGTGGGGCAAACAGAGTTTTTGGGATTGTGTATGTAGGTATGGCTGGTTGTCCTGTGGTAACATCGGGCAGTAGTCTAGGAAAATTGTCGATTTTCAAAAAAAAAAATCCTACCCAAAAGAACTTTTCAGGGATGATAGGGGGAGGGTGGGTGATCATAAAACCGAAAATATCAAATATTCACCCCTCTGGCGTTTGGCGCTATAGGGGTTGAAAGTGCACCATTGGCGATTACTTGGTACCTATTGATTTTACAAAAAGATGTGCAACATTATTTGATCTACAATGTTTATCTGAAGACTTTTTTGATTAGGGGCCGTCTGTGGTCATAAGGGCCGTTTGAAATTTTATAATGAAAATGAAAAATTTTAACCAACATGAAAAAATTTTCTACAACTCGTACAACATTTTTGCTTCATGAAGTTTTTACTCACCCCCTGCCGTTTTTCAATATGGGTAGTTTAAAGTTTTTTTATTTTTTTATAAAAAAATTTTCTGAATAAAAGTTTTATAAGATGACATTTCCTACAATTTTTCCTTATCAACTTTTTTTGTAACTCACCCCCATTCAGCGGGGGAACACGTCCCTCGGGCAAATTTTAGTTTTTAGGGGTATATATATATTTTTTTCTTTTCTCGCCTTTAGTGCATATAAAAAGTTGCAATTAACATTGTATTAAAAGGATTTTTTTTTTCACCACCTTTTTGTTTTTAGGGGTAGTTCGCCTATTTTCAACTTTACAAAAAAAATTTATAAAGAAAACTTGTTCATTTTATTATTTTGAGCAACTTTCCTCCATACCCACCGGCCCCCTATCATCCCTGAAAAGTTCATTTGGGTAGGAATTTTTTTTTTGCAATACATGTATTTTTCGACTATTTTCCTAGACTACAGAACATTTCTAGACAAAACATTTAAAAAAAAAAAAACAATATTTTTTTTTTTTTTGTAATATCCTAAATAACAATTCATCAGGTGAAAGAACGCAGTTGTTTATTTATATTAACAGTTTTATTTTGGTTTGGAGTATATCTAGATGGCAAAGGTTAAGTTTCTCAAAGACAACCAAAACTAATTAAAAAGCAATATCTCTTGACCTAAAAAGCAGTATTTGTTTATTAGAGATGTTTGTTTTTATTTGTCGATTTTCATGATTTTTTGTGGCATCATTCTGCCTATGCATTTTTTTTTTCTTTTTCTGAATTTTTACTCTTTACAGCTTGCAGGTATGTAGCTTCATATCCATGCATATTGATTGACAATAACAACTTACATTCATTTATTCATGTGCAATTAAAAATATTAAATTTATCGGTTGTTGGTTTTGTGGTCAAGAACCCCGTGGTGTTGAGATTAGACTCAAAAGTGGAAACTAATCGAAACGGCATAATAGAATGCAGTATTAATTTTTTATTATTAAAAAATACTTACTTATCACAAACAGAATTGGAAGAACCATAGTAAAATTATAACATCCTGTTCTCTGAAAGGATTTCCCTAGATTTCGATGAAGCATACTCCTATAAGCTCTTTGCGTTAGAGAATTTTACACTGGTTGTCTCCAAATGGTCTCTCAAGAGAAGGGAGAATGGGCAAAGTGAGAAAATGAGCTTAATCAGGCACCAGTTTTTGATGTTACATTGGCTCTGGGTCTTTCTTATTAGCTCGCTATGGGACTGCCGGAAATTTCGTAGGGTATCCCTGGAGACCAATTATTATCACGATTTGGTCCAGATATCAGAAATTTAATTTTCCACTGCTTTCTGTTACAACATTAAAAAAACATTGAACCTTGATAGTTTTAGGTTGACTGAAATATTTTTGATTTGCCTTGGAAACTAGCATCTCATCAGGCATTAGTTTGCCATCTTTTATATGGCTAGAAGAACAGAAGGACTAAACTTTGCCTTCAAGAGTTGAATGAAGACATGTTGAATCTCTATTGGGAAAATGTGAGAATGCACACACCTAATGGTCCCGTATCTACACTCTCGAAAAAATAACCTTTTTGAAAATTGTGATATTCTAGGCACATATTTTTATGTCCGTATTGCTCTCTCAAATTCCTCTATCAATTCAGAAGAAGCATTAATTAATTGAAAAACTAAAAAAAAAAGCTAGGTATCCCTTTTCTGAAGTCATTTGAAAAAAAACATATAGGAATACCAAATGTAAACATGTATTCCTGGAGTTTTTGAAACACAATCAGGACCTGTTTGGAGCATTTAGCTTATGTTTTGGTTGGTGATTTCTTATTTTTATCTGCTTGAGTGCCGAAATTGTTAAAACCAAAAACTATCAGATTTTTCCCCGAAACTTTATTCAAAGCGCTTGTAATTTTCGCTCTCAAAAAATATTCAGTCATTCAGATGCGACCCTTCATCCTTCGTTTTTTTCAGAAAAGATATCTATCCACAAAAAAACATAAATGGGATCTAACAATTGTCAAAGTACATCTTCTTGACATATGGAAAATTCATAGTATAAATTGTCCAAATATCCCAGCAGACACTCTATATCTGTATGCATCCCAAATCTTATCTTTAATAATGTCATTAGCCTTATTTATAAGAGGCATTTTTCGATGCACGATAATAGCTTTAAAGAAAATAATACCACTCTTCGAACTGATAAAGACAATTTATTTGTTTATATAGTGACATAAACAATAAAGTTAAGACTCAGTGCCGTTTTGCTGCGATCAAATGCAACATGTCGGGCTACCGAGAACGATTAAGTTTTAGTTTAAAACCTTCGGTGATTTTTCGTAATATCCGGAAGTTTTTTAAAAGTAAGAAGTCACCGAAAAATAAAGGATACGTTAAGTTTTTGACTGACGAGGAGCAGAGGTTTGTTTATTTGTTAGCATCATTATTTTTTGATAATAATTTCAAGCTAAGCCTAGGATTGATTTTTCTAATTTTTTCATATTTCTATTGTTTTTACTCATTCATTTATTTTATTTTGCTCACTTGCAAATATGCCTATACACAATATTCTTATCAAGTTAATTTTACCATAAGCCAGCACAATGAGAAAATAAGCAGTAATAAAGGGTAATTTTCCTATTAGCTCTAGAACACATGTCAGGATGAAGCAACTTTATTAACATAAGTTGATCTGGATTTTAATTTGAAAATGCAAAAACTGAATATTTAATTAGTTCTTTCTGATGATTAAGTGTTTCAGCTCTAAAATAGTTAACTACAGTATTAATAACCATTAACATTGGCAATTACAATAGCCTTTGAGAAATAAAAGAATTCTTATAACACATTCCTATTAAATTTATAATAACACTATCATTTTAATTAGTTTATTATCAGTATTTAGTTTGATAAGTTTTTAAAAATGAACTTATATTCAGTTTTAATTGTAACTTGTGACCATGAGCACAAAACAACCGTATTTCAGCAAACTCACTCAGGCTCTTTTAGGAAAAAGTAAAAAATTGCTCAGAATTCCAGAAAAACCTGTAAAAGATGGTTATGAAAGATTAATTTCTAGTGACCAACAGCAGTAATTATTTTTTTTAAATATATTTATTTTTCTATTCCTGTTCGAAAATATTCCATCTTTTAATTTTTTTTAGGTGGTTGGATGAATTTACCTCAAAGTATTCCCAATTGCCCACCAGGATTGGAATACCTTACTATGATTGATCAACTACTAGTGCATCAAAAAGTTGAAGTTTTAGAAGGTAATGATTAAATTTATTTTTTTTATGATTTCTATCCTCACTTAGGCAGACAAATTTAATAAAGGCTGGTGCAAGGTGGAAGGCTGTGAATTACAACTTTTTTTTTGTAGCTTTGACTGGGTTTGAAACCAAAAACAAATTCACCATCAAAAATAGTTTAGGCCAAAAAGTTTATTATGCTATAGAAGAAAGTGATTGTCTTACTAGGAATTGTTGTGGACCACTGAGACCTTTTGACATGCAAATACTGGACAATTTTAAAAACGAAATTATTCATCTTCATCGACCCCTGGCTTGCGATAGTTGTTGCTTCCCCTGCTGTCTTCAGGTAGGATTATTATTTTTGTTTCGAAAAACAACTTACTGAAAATAATAAAGGGATGAATTCCACTGTAAATTAACAAACTTCTTTTTCTGGTATACATATAAGCGAAAATGTTTGTTGTAGAGCATGGAAGTCTCATCTCCTCCAGGTACCATTGTCGGAACAGTAGAACAAGAATGGAGCATATTCTGTCCAACTTTTGCAATCAAAAATGCCAGTGGTGATACTGTTCTGAGGATCGAAGGACCGTTGTGTACTATGAGCATTTGTGGTGATGTAGAATTTAAAATTATGTCTGGCGACGGTGAAGTTCAAGTTGGTAAAATATCGAAACAGTGGTCTGGATTAATTCGGGAAGTATTTACTGACACCGATTATTTTGGAATTACATTTCCCATGGATTTGGATGCTAGAATGAAAGCGGTCATGTTGGGAGCTTGTTTTCTCATTGTGAGTACATATTTTTGGTAAACAATTTTGGGGTGAGGTCATAGGTCATATTATAATGATCAAAACGGACTTTAGATTTATTATCAATCTTAAAATCCACACTCTGTGGAAGAAAAAAATTTATCAAGGTTAGTGTTCTATTGAAAACAATATTTTTTTCAGGATGCCATGTTCTTTGAAAAGGCCAAAAGTGGTGCGGAACGTTCTTCTACTATGTTATAATGCGACGTCACTTTATTTTTTTTAATATTTATATTACTTTGTTTACTTGTTTTAATTATTTAGTTATTTATTTATTTTATTTGAATTGGATTTTTTTTTATTGAATATTTGATTTTATATACTGACTTTCTGAGCCAGGTTTTACGTTTTCGGTTTTCAAAACAATGATATTATATAATCTCGAATTAGGGTGTGTTTCTATACAGTAATTATTACAAATTATGATGACATCTTCATGCATTAAACTATTGTATATTGTATCTGGTTAACTAACTCAAATATATTTACTGTTGTAATACATAAATCTATAACAAAGTCATTTTATAAAATATGATACCATAGAAGTTTACTGCATTTTCTTCTTTTACTATTTTGTGATTACGTTCATAAGTTTTATGTTGATTTTTTTCAAGTTTGAATAATGTTTGAAGTTGACGTTGTTCTTCAGGAGAGTTACTGGAATTGTCGAATCTCAAAAAAAAATGCTTTGGAGATGTATTGCACAATCTGACAATTTGCTTTCCAGCTATTTGATGGCAATTAGCTTTTAAAAATCGATGTATACCTATAAAAGTACGTTATTTAGTGGATCCTGATAATTTTTTATCACTTTTTGGGCATACCTATACAGGGTGTCCAAAATACCACTGTTGCTATCGGGGAAACAATAAGAGGGGTCAATCGAATTACAAAAAAAGATGCAATTTTTAGTGACCAGATATACTTGATGAAAAAGTGGTTATTTAAAATGGCATCTTTTTTCTATTTCCAACGCCCATATATCTCTTACCATTTCCGAGATGTCAGGCATGGAACATCCTGTATAAAAAATCATATATTTTTATGTGTACTGATTGACTACTTAATAATAATTGTGATACTTATGTTTATTTTCACTTTGATTTCACTGATGAAATGTGATTTATCTGAAAAAACTAATATAGGATAAATAAATTTAAATTGAAAGTGTTTTCGGAATCAGTTAGCATACATAATAATGTTTTAAAAGTTTCAAAAAGTGATAAATTTATTATTATCAACATGGTGGCTTTTGTCAAAAAGTATAAGGCTAAAAATGGAACCTGCAAATCTATACATAATATATATTATTAGGGTATGATGTTCAAAATATTCAGTTCCCACTAGAAAGTATTTTTAAAATTTAGAAGTTATTGGCTCAATTTGCAATCAGAAATTTATTTCTGAATTTGTTTTATTGCATTAAATTTCATCAAAAAATACATTTTATAAATCTTTCCTGTGGGTTCTATAGTATAGGGTGATTCAGTTTGAGGTTACAATTTAAATATGGCAACACTGGTTTGCTGACTGTCATATATGGCTGAAATTTGACATGTGTCATAAGAGAGTATTGACATTCACGAATATGGAGCGGTATTCAATACAAGAACGCATTTTATTTGGTAAAACCTATTTCCGAAATGGAAAAAATGTAACTAACACAAATTGTCATGTACACTGTTTCTCACTGCGGCAACATTTTCGATTGATTGACCACTGCGAGGACGTATTGGTGTTTGGACATCCAACACTGATCCAGTTCGGTCAAATTTTTGAATCAATTTGTTAACTGCGGCACGAGATGGACGGTTATGGTTACCGAAGTCATTTCGTAATGCACGAATCGTCTTAGTTACATTTTCTCCATTTCGGAAATAGTTTTTAACAATTAAAATGCTTTCTTGTGTTGAATACCGCTCCATATTCGTAAATGTCAATACTCACTTATAGCAACGCTTATAGTTATGACACATGTCAAATGTCAGCCATATATGGCTGCCAGCCAACCAGTATTGCCATATTCAAATTGTAACCTAAAACTGAATCGCCCTATATTTTATTTAATTTAAGGGATAATACAGTCGACAACACAATAAGTGGCAGCACGTTTGTGAGATTTTTGAATTTCCAGATGTGCCGTTTCTTAGGTAATCGAGCTACATATATATATATATAACTATTAAATTGTTTTTGATGTATTTTTTATATAATAAAATGTTTAAATTTTTTTTTAATATTATTCACCTACATTGTTGTAAAAAATTACCTCCTTAACCAATTCTTTTTCCATTCCGAGTTTCTTGATTATTCTTATCAAATTAATGCTGATGTTTCCTTGTGATGAAGCTCTTTGATTTTTGCTCTATTCGATATTCTCAGGATATTCAACAGATAATTCTCATTCAGTTGGAACTGGAAGATTGTTTCAGTGTCTTCGTCAGGTCGCTTAATAGGTATTTAACCTGCGTTGGATGCAGCTAGAGGGTTATTGTGCTAAATCTTCCTGTTTAATGCACCCATTCCAAAACCCTGCTTCCCTGAAGTAGGCGAAGTAGGTCTGTTGAATGTTTGCCGTGTGTGTCTGGATCTAGTTCATCTTTTCCAAATATATTTTGTCTCCTGCGAGTGCCTTGCATTCTGATATAATGTGTTGGGCTGTTTCGGTCTCTGTTCCGGATAGTCTACAGCTTGTGTCTCTGTTGTACAAACCCATTGTTTGCAGGTGCTTCTTTACTGTGGCATGCCCAGTAAGAAAGCCGGTTGCTACTCGTGAGTTGATTCCTGCTTAGTTGTAGCAGTCTTTTTTTGCTATTTTGCTGCATGTCTCACGCATGAAGATGTTCCCGTGTGCATGTTTGGGTATTTGCATAGAGTATTGAGGATCTTTTGCTTTGATCCATTCCTTCAGCTCCTTTCTCACTGTGCTTTTGGGCACTCCGAGAGCTGATTGGGTTTTTCAAGACCCCTAGTGCTGCCTGACTGCCTGTGAGTAAAGTGAGTCTCCTTTCTTTGCAGGCCCTCATATTGTTGATTCTTGCGAATTGTAGTATTACATAATACCTCTGCCTGGAAAATAGATGTATGTGACCCTAGAGAAAAGAAGGTCTCGCATCTTTCTTGACTGTAGATTCCTGCGCCTGTACCTACCATTCTCAGCATTGACCGTCCGAGTACCAGGTCTGGCCTTTGAGATTGGAAAGTGTATGTTGGTTTTTCCCAATACTCTCTTTAACTAACTAGGAATGCAATTTGTGCCATAGTTTTGATCTCCTACATTTTGGCAAATACCAATTTGAAAATTCTATTCTTCTATGATGGTCATCTGGTCATAGATTATGTATTTTCCTGGGAGGATATGTCGGGTGCATAGAGGTCGGGTGAGTATTTGGGAAGGGCCTAGTCAGTTATCATGTCGAATATTGTCAGAATTTTGACTTCCTTTATTTATATGTGGCCTAATCTGACTGTTAGTTTGCCTAGGTTGTTCCGTTGTCTGAATTACAATGTGTAGCGGAGGTAGTAGGTTTAGTAGGACATAGCCATAGCTGCTGTTGGTGTGCTTTTCATGCACCCTGTAATGCCCAGGCAGGCAAGTCTTTGCACCCTGGCCAAGTATCATTCTTGCCCTGTTTTGTTGTGTTTTTGTCCACCATACCAAAGACACATAGGTTATCGCTGGCTTGACAACTGTTTTGTATAGCCATCTTGTCCGGCCGCAGCTCCCATGTATTGCCAAAACTTCTCCTGGCCTATAAGTGCAAGTTCTAACTTTTTAATTACTTTGTCCAGATATTTGTTCCAAGTTAATTTTGAGTCATACCCCAAGATATTTAACTTCGTCCCACATCGTAACTGTTCTTGCTCTTTAGTAGCTCTATCAGCTCGTCCATCACCAGATTCCACTGAAGGGGTCATAACAATCCGCCCTGCGGACATGCCTTTGCAACCCGAGCCGTTACTGTTTTACCGAGAAGCGTGGAGTGGATGACTCTACCTTGAAGCATGCAGCATGTATAATTTATATTGGACAGTTGATTACAATAGTTATGTACATAAATATAGAGCGGTCAGTCAAGCGAAACTTAGAATAAGGACCTAGGGTGTCTTTGTTAAAGTTGTCGAGATAACTTAGGTAATGCAATGAATTTACTAAGGTTGAAAATCGTTATACATATCATATATTACACATAATAGTGATGTTAGCCAGTCAGTTGAATAGCGGAACCGTGCTGGTCAGTCAGCCCCATTGAGGTAGGTCGGTCCCAATATATGTAAAAAAAAATAATAGGGCTATTTTTTTTAGAGTGACAGTGACAATTCAAAATTGTAGGTTGGAGTATAAATTAATAGTAATATTACTTTTTCTTGTAGTAGATTTGATTTATTGGGCTGACTGACCAGCACGGTTCCGCTATTCAACTGATTGACTAACATCACTGTTATTCACATGTTATATATGATAATATTGATAATGTATAACGATTTTCAGCTTTAGTAAAAAACTAGCAACATAACTTCCTTATTTTCCAACGTAGGTACTTTCTACCCTCTGGACGAGGTGATGTAGATGTAGTGCTGTTTCAGTTGAGGTTCCTGCTTTGTAAGCATATTGGTCTGGTAGCCTATGCACCGCCCCGAATGTGGAGCTCAAGCAGTTTTTCCAGAGCCTTCAACAAAAATGACATGAGGGTTATGAATCTCAGAGGTTTTGCATTGTCCTGTCCTATCTTGCCAGATTTGGGAATGAAAACAACTCTGATTTCTTGAAATATGATTTAGTCACAAGCTTGCTCTAATTTATATTTGAGTCATAGTTGACCCTCTCAAGGGAGTTATTATGTCCCTACATACTTTACCTATGTATGTTTGGTTCTGAAAAAAATCCTTCGATTTGCAATTATTGTTGAAATCATCCAGTGAAAATTTACGCTCGAAAATTTCAAACACAATATGAGGCGAGCTTGGAGATAGATTGATGTTGGCGAGCGTGACGGTCAAAAAGGGGTTTTCGGCGATTTTTCCACTTCTGATCTTGGACAATATTCAGGGTAAGTATTAGTAGTCCAGGCATTCACACTAAAGTTTCTGGGAGCAAACCAAACCTATGTAGAAAATTCGTGTAGGTGAAGTACCTAGATGTGAAACTCCAGTGTACCTAGCTATGCTTTCAGCAATAGAATTACCTGACTTACCTTTCGCAAGGATTTTGGTCAAATATGAAATGTGAAAATACTTTCCAACAGAATATTCCTGCATCTTAAAAGTTATATAGGGTTTTCCAAGACATACAGAATGTAGGTATTAGCCAAGGTTGTTCGAGAGAGGTAGGTGCCTGATAACTTTTATGACGTCATCTGGGTGCCTGAACATAATGCAAATCTCCATAAGGCTCCTTGGATGCGTCATCAAGTTACCCATTACCAGACAACCTTTGAACTTTAGGAACCTTGGGTATTGGCTAGCTTTTTCATAAATGTCATGCGTTCAAACATCTCTATCCAAACTTTTTTCCAGAAGCTGCATTCTTATCCAAGAAAGGTCATAAAGTATGACTATAATTTATTCATTCCCGCGCAAACGAAACATTTTGTTCTAAGGAAATCCGACTCATATTAATAGTTTTATTTCGTAACAACTTATTCCTCTGTTATTATCAAACAAATAGGTGTGTTTTCATCATCATTCTTCGCTATTAATGATCTCATCATAACAAAACATTTTAAAAACGCTTAGGCAAAATTAACTAAGAAAAAATCTTCATTATCGGAAGGACTCGCACAGAAATTATTCCAAGTTGGAACTGGTGATTAGGACTGCGGCCGACGGCCGACCAACAAAACGACCGCAGATGAAACGAAAAAAATATTCCCCAATTAAAATTATTTAAAAGAACCTTGAATCAGATGAAGATCAAAAGCTGAGGACTAAAAAAAAAATGTTAATCTCAGGAAATGTCAGGCACGCTACCACTCTTCAACACGAATATCGTCAAATTAGTTCTCTAGTGTCGATCAGGTGCAATCATGGGTTCTCGAGTAAAGAAAGCAGGCATTTTCTGGTTGTGGATTTTTGGAATTGGAATGGGTTCATGTAAGTTTTAAATAATACACCTTATATTAGAAAGTACCTACCTACCCAATAATTATAGGCTTTCCATTTTGAAAGACACAATTAAAAAAAAAGTGATAGGAAAGGGCCATAATATTCAACCTTTTCTAGAAAATTTCTAATAAGTATCTACCTAATGTTTTTTTAGCATGATCGAGCCAGTATCAAAACCAAATGCTAATGGTAAATTTTAAGGATACCTTCCAGGATATTCTTAATTTGCAAAATTACTTTTTGAACGTGAAGTTGAACATTTCGCTTCCAAAATAAGTTCGGATTCGAATTACAGGATTTTCTTTTTATGAGCAATATTTTTTAAATAGTATGGCACATTGTTTAATTGACTATTGTTCAATGGATATAAGGTCGTTAAATTAAAATAATTGCAAGTGCGAATTATATAAATTATAGATATACCTAATAAAATTGCTATATTATGTATTTAAATTATTACCACTCTACCAAAAAAAAATTGCTCTTTCTTTTCGAAAAGTTTCATATAGTTTTGAATAAAACAAACAAAAAAATCTACTAAACTACCAGCTTGCAGGATCAGTAGGAGTTTTCGAGCACATGAAAGTACCCCCAAAATAGAATTAGCTTGTCCCATAAATATGGAGACAAATTTCCAATAGAACATAAACAAAGTATTTTACAATTCGCAAAGTAATTTCCAGCAAAAGTCGCCAAACCGTAACAAATCTATTTTTTGGCGTTTTTCGAAGTTTATCATTATAACTATATATAGGATAATAAGTGAAACTTTTAATATGCTTTGTGTTAATTTAAAAATATATGTTAAGAGTTATGATTAAGCTTTTAAGTTATGAAATTATTTCGAAATTTCAGCAAAATCTATCATTTCTTTTGATCCTTCTGGGAAGCTAGATTTTGGATCTTCTGAAGAAACAATTCAACCAAGGAACGTAAAATTAGATTCAATGAGAAATACCGACTCTTCAGGTTCAGCTTCAGATAAAACAAAAAGTGTTGTTTGTGGAACTGGTGGCTGCAATGCCACCCAAATTACCAACAATACTATAGAAACTGAAGTACTGATTCACGTTCAAACTAAAGTTAATTTGAATCACGATGAGAAAAAGAAATTTATGGAAAATTCTTCTGATGTACCAATCGTTGTTGGATATAAAGGTAGGTATAATGATGTATAGATCAGCAAACTTCAACGTAAGACTTCGTATAGGTTCCAATCCTAACAGGAAGCCATTTGACATAGGTTATGGAAATGACATTCCAAGCCGTGAATACGGAGACTATCCGCCTTATTTCCGACCAACATATACAAACCCGCCTATAAATATTGGTCCATCTTTTAATCAAAGAAACGGCTTTGACAATTATGGTTTCTCGACATTTAGGCCACCAATTGGTAGAAATTATTATGGTTTTCCAGGTAGTTCAACAACTTTTGCCGGTGGATTTTATGGTTCGACAACTCATAGACCTTTGGTGAGCACAACTATCAATACTTACCTAAGTTCCTATATAACTATGATAAGTTTTGGAGGTTGAGGATGCCAAAGAGGGTAAACTTGAATTTTTTCCAAATTGATTTAGTAATCAATTTGGAAATTTAAGGTGGCCGAGCTTTAGTAGCTCGGCCACCTTAGGTAATAATATGTTGCGAATACTGCTGCCTGACATGAGCTTATGATTTTGATTTCGACTATTTTTGAAATTACATTTTAATTATTATTTGATGTTCATGCGTTGTTGGCAAAGATTAGGAATTTGTATTATTAATTTCTATCAACTGCATTCTCATGCCTTTCGGATTAGATTCAGAGGCACAACCAAAAATGTGAAATAAAATAATTCGGTACCTCGATAATCGATATAAGAATACACAAAACTGCTCAAGAATAGATTTTTTTTTTTTTAATTTTGAGGCAATGTGCAGGTAGGTACTTATGTGCTCAATTTTAGGATCTACATTATGGTTACGCAGAATCCCCACCCAACCTGAATAGACCACGCCACTACAACAATAATAGAGTTGAATTGCAGGTTCCTCACTTTGAACATGGTTATAACAAGCATTATTTTAGAGAAGAACCTCCTCCGCATAATATTTTGCTTGATAGAGGCAATGCTTACAATCCAGTGGAGTTTAGGCCTACATCTTGGACACCGTCTAGTAGTTGGGGTGGAAGAAATTATAAATTTGAGTTCAGTGATCATAGGAGAAATTATGGGTAAGATATCCCTTAGAAAAACAAAGTTTAATTTTTCCTAACAATTTAGGATTCACTATACCTATTTGGTTTGTTCTTTGCCCCTGAACCTAACCGCATGTCTCTGATTTTCAATATGTCAGTTTCGTAGAATTGAGTCCATCGTGGACAAAGAACAAAACTATTGGAGTCCCGACAGCATTACATTTTTTCTGCCTCTCAAATAAAATTGTTTGCCTTTGGAATCAGCTTGTGTGTTTTTGTTGGGTCTGCTATGACTTCTATTGAGCTTATGTATTTCAGAAATCCGTCCAACGAAAATCAGTTACCTGGACAACTTGTTCACCACGATAATCATGGTGTAGACTGTTCATGTAGAAATTCGAACGCTGCCATACCTCATCAAGATTTGAATATTTATGCTGCATCGTCTTTAAATCCAAGAATTGCTGTTCCTGACAAAAAAATCACTATAGATAATAAATTAGCACCATTAAATTAATATTTTGTGTTATTATACCTATTGTACGTTTTTAGGCATTACCTACTCATTTTTACCTGATAATTAAATCTGAATTATTAAGCCAATTAGATTTTTTTTTATTGACCAATTACCTTTTACCGCAGTTGTTCAAGCTGCACTCTCTTATTTGAATACACCTCTTAGAAAAGAAAAAAAACACTTAATGCAATCCTTTGTTGAAAAATATTTAATAGTCTAAGATCTCGTGGAAAGTTTTCAGTAGGATGTTATGAATATCGGAAGAAAAATTAAGAGAGTTTAATTCCTTCCAAAAAGCGATCCTTACTTTAAAGATGACCGCTGAATAGGCACCTAAGGTATCAGTTTGTTATTCATGCCTCTTATTTTTACTTTTGCATATTTTTTCGACATTCTCCTTTAACAAATAAAAGCCTGCTGGTTAACTATATTTGGTGACAATTTTGTTCACTTCAACAATATATATTATCCAGCATAAGCAAGAACATTTTTTTCCACCGCAGGATGAAGCTCAGGAAGGAAACTTTCATAAAGTAATGAAACTTGTCTGGGAAGACATACGTGTCTACATGGTATCAATTATTATGACAGTATAGCGATAACTAGTTATAGTTATAATTGCCGACACTAAGCTACTGGAGGCAGAGTCGTTTTTCAAATAAAAAAAGTCAAATGTAGAAAAATCCAAAAGTATACCAGCCTCACACTAACTTAAATTGACCAACCTGGAACTCTCAATAATTACTCTACGGTTTTAAGCGAGGCTCAAACTGAACTTGGACTTGATTTTTTGGATCCGGTTACTCTGACGGCTAATGAGAATTTGCCATTGGATCTTAGACTAAAACGACTTGTCGGAGATGCACGATTGAATAAAAGTAAATTTACCTCCGAAGTTAATTAAATGACCCGAGGATTACCTATACATACAGCTGAAGATCTTATCTCATGGAAAAATAGTTTTGTTTTAAAAACACAACTGGTTATACTTCAGTTATTATATCAGTGGCGTGCCAACCAATTTCAATGTCAACACAGTGAATCCTTTAATAACTTCTCATGAATTATTCAAGTTTGTTTTTTTAATAATTGTGAAAATTTATGTGTTTATTATTCGAAATCTTGAGCGACTTAAATTACAAAATAATATTTTTTTTCACTTGTCTGCGAAGCTAGACAGATCAACAAAAAGTTGAAAGTGGCAGTTTTTGAGTAAGCTTATGAAATACATCCATTCTAGTTCTGCTTTTTTTTTCTATATTTCTTCTTGAATTCTTCGCGGACCGTCGCTATTTCTCCTTTCACTTTATTTTTGGGAAATTTCCATTCTGTCTTTGACCATTCTTATCCATCAAATAAGGCACCCGTGTATTCTTTGCCCTTGCGTGCTTTTGTGAGCACCTGCTCTGCTTTACCTATTTGCTTTTCCATCTTGGTCGTCTGTTGTCTTGGCTTCGTAGATAAATGAGAATACTTTTACGAGCCCCTTCAAATCCAAGAAAAACCCACTGAAAACAATGATTGTACTTATGTGTTGCAGGTGATCGATGGTGGTTTGAATTACTCAACTGTTCGTTAAACTAGTATCACTATAGTAAGCAGTAACTGAACGCTTTACGGTCCAATCGAAAACTTTTCCTTATCGACGTCGCGGACCGCTTATATACCGTTTTAGGCCTTGTCCAATTTTTGCGAAAATTCTAGAATTCTCTTCTTTAATGCTCTTAAGTTAAAAAAAAAAACGAAAAGATAAAGATATTAAGCTGAAAAGAGAGAATATTATACCTACATTGGTCTGTGTCAAGAAATGAGAAGAGGATCTTAGACCTTATACACATAGACTCAAAAGTTTTGCATCACCCTAAAGCTCCGAAAGTATTTTTTATCAGGAAAAATGGTTTAGAGACTTATTAATTGATTAGTATAAATTGAGAAAACATCTACAATACTTGTACAAAAATTTTATTACACTATTACAAAATTTACAAATTGATGGATTTCTTTAAAAAAGGTTCTTGAAAACCTTTAATTTTAGGTATTGTAGTATAACATACCCGGGTTCGTTCGGTAAGAATGAACGGTGAGAATTTTTATTACCTTTTAAACAACAAATCTTCTGAATAACGAAATGAAAAACAAATAGAACCTACGTTGTGGAAACTTACTCATTTTACTTACTGGACATGCGCCCGACATAACAAATATTTGGGAAATTTAAGGGAATCTGTTATATGTTAAAGAAACGAAAAACTTGTGAAACGTCTACTTTATTATTAAAGTAAATCGTACCTTTCTCGACCTGGAATTCTCGAGGGGAAAGAACGGCAGAGAAACCTTCGATCTAATAATCCTCAAAAATCGAAACATACTGTGTCATTTTAATAATAATTGTGAGTCATTAATTCAATAATTCAATAAAAGTTTAAATTAGGTACCTTCCTTTGTCATTGTGCTAAAATTTCAATTCTACACACAACATTCAATCAACACTACCTATATTCAATACTGAAGAGTTTTTGGTTAGTTAGCCAGTTTCCCAGCAGGTACTGAGGTCCCATACGGGATGCTACCCAGCTATAGTTGTTATTTTGAGCCAAAATCTCTTTCCTTTGTTTGGTAGGATATTCTCTCATCAGGGTAGGAAAATATTAGTAAATTCAACAAGGCCCTAATGTACGCTCTAAATCCAAAAATCAAAATCCCAGCACAAAAAGACAGCACATGATTTTTCTAGGTCTTAATTTACTCTTTATCTGTATTGTGCACATGTTATAAAAAATGTTATAAACAAACAAAAAAACATAAAAATGAAAAACACAATACTTGTATAAATTGAACTCTCAAAAACAATTATTCAACTGACCTTGTGAATGCTCCTTTTGACACACAAACTAATCACAAATTGGATTGAACTATCAGTTTAATACCAAATAAAAATAAAAATTGAATAATGATAAACGGCAGACAAGCGTCTTAATGGACCAGCCCAGAGCCCCGCTTCTTCCCTAGTCTAATCGTTTATTCTCTTGTCTCCTCTTCGTACGCTTTTTCTGTGGCGCCTCTCGTTCCCATAAACTTAAACTTCACGGCACATGGTTGCAACATTTACTTTTATTCAGTAAACGTTTTTTAAAAAGTTAAGATTTGAAGAAATAATATTCCAAATAGGTGGTTTTCCTCAGTATTTCCACCTCTAGCATTTATGCAAGCCTGGAAACGCCTGACCATGCTGTCTATCAGATTATATGTTTGTTCCGACTGATCTGTATTAATCCGTTCGAGGTTCATGTTCCGACTACTCCAATGAAAATTAGCACTGGCAACGCTGTTCCGCTGTCATTTTTAAAAAAGATGAAGTCATCTGTCAGCCAGCCTTCAGCCAACCAGCATTCTGCTTTTGAACCAATGAGAGCACTCGAGACGGTCGCCAACGACGCTAACCTCTTTTTTGCTCTTAAAAAATAATTTGTAACTGAAGCTAATAAACCAGCTAAAAATTTGACTATATGTGTTTTTATTGCACATATATTATTTTGGTCCTTCGACACGAATAATCAAGAAGCCAGCCAGAACAAAAAACTTCGAAAACAAGAAAAAATCAAGAACTTCCCATTCTCAGCCCGGCAAAACGAAGCTCTTGTCTCCAGGCCATCCGAGCAAGACGAAAAACTCATTGCGACGCGGCAGCGGAAGAGATACAGAAACACAAGGCAAAATAACACAAAGCAAAAATAACCTCCAAACGAAATTACAACAAAAACAATTACAATCAACTCTGGAAAAATACGCCAGGCCGCGATTGGCCTATACACACTGAATCGGCCGAAGTAAGGTTAGTGCATTCCTTTTCTTACCATAAATCCTTTATTTCCTTTAAAAACAAATAATTATTTCTATTTCTAATAATCATGGATAATAATGATAATGAAAGTATTATCAACTTTGATCTCAAAATTGCTAAAAATGCCAGAAAAAATATTAAAAGTAGATTAACTCGCTTTAAAAATTATTTTGAAGTGGCAAAATTAGAAACGCCACCAGATCTTGTTCAGATTGAATTTCGTTTAAATTATCTTGATACATTTGAACAATTTAATGAATTACAATCTCGTATTGAAAATTTAGATTCCGAAACTTCAGAAGAAGCCCATGATCTTGAACGTTTGAATTTCGAGGACAATCATTTTAAAATAATCTCAGAATGCAAATCATTTTTATTGAAACATCAAACAGTTGATGTTCAAGTTCATAGTAGTGCAAGTTCTTCTGGAAGTTCGCAACGACCCCTTGCAGCAAATATAAAATTACCTCCTATCACATTGCCAACATTCGATGGAAATTATGAACAGTGGCTTTTCTTTAAGGACACTTTTGAGTCTCTTATCCACAAGGAGGATTCAATTCCAAAAATAAATAAATTTCATTATTTACGCCTTTCATTAAAAGGGCAAGCCGCTGATTTATTGAAATCCTTAGACAGACAATTATGATGTAGCATATAATCTTTTGGTTAAGAGGTATGAAAATAAACAAATTCTAATCAAAAACCATATTAAAGCTTTATTCAATTTAGAATCGCTTGCCAAAGAGAATCTAAATGGCTTGCGTAACTTAGTGGACGGTTTGTCAAGGCACTTACGAGCTCTTGAGGTTCTCGGTCAGCCAGTAAAACATTGGGATTCCCTAATTATACATTTAATTTCTTTGAAGCTCGACCAGGTGACAAGGAAAGAATGGGAAAGTGAATACTCCAAACATGATATAATAAGTCTTTCAATTTTTACTGATTTTTTAAATAATAAATGTAAAGTTCTCGAGAATATTCAAACAGCATTAACTTTCAATTCTGCAGACAAACCTAAGGGGACACGAAGTCTCGTTTCCACTAATCGAGTTCCTTTTTGTACATATTGCTCAAAGGATCATACTATATATAACTGCAAATCTTTTATCAATCTGAATACTCATAAAAGGATTTCTGAGGCAAAGAAGCTCAAGTTATGCCTAAACTGTTTGCGAAAAAATCACCTTACTGAACAATGTCATTCTATCTTATGCCGTAAATGTGATAAAAGACACA